TCAAAGAGGAAATAGGCGAAAATGCCGAGGAGAACGCCGAAAAGCGTAATAAACTAATTAAGGAAGAAAAATTTAAACAATCCGAGAAGGACAACATTGAAGAACGAATAACTGAAATGAAGAAAGAAGTTAGTGAAAAATTAAGTAACATCAAGAGAGAAGAAGTGGGGGAGCCTTTCGATAAGAAAGATGACTCCTTCATCCACATTAAAAGGGTTCGTACTTACCTGAGGAGCGGAAGTGAAGATTCCAGTGACGATCCGGGAAACCAAGACGACCTGAAACATAAAAACAAGAAATTAAAATTAAATAAAGAAAATAAAGAAGATACTTACCAAGGGAGTGAAAATGAAGAAGAGGACTTCAGCGAAGATCCAAAAAACGAGGATGACTATAAAAAATGGAAAAGATTGAAAGATTACTACAAGGATTCCAGTGACGAATCGGAAGACGAAAAAGAAGAATATAATAGATGGAAGAGGAGAAAAAAGCAAGTAATGGAGATAATAAGGAGAAATAATACCTACCGAGCTGAAAATTGCCGAGGAGAAGGAGCGGTGGAACAAGAAAACTCGAAGCCAACGAATGTTACGAATTCCGTGACAAAAGTCAAATCGCTATTGGCAGAGAGGTTTCACTTAGCATCCTGCAGTCAATTGACTGATTCTGAAACAGAAAACGAAGAGGAGGATAATAATTCGGAAAACAAAGACACCGAAGATAAAAATGACCAACAAGAGTCACCAGATGAAATTATGTTAAGTGAAAGCAGTATGAGTGAGGAAGAAGAGCGAGAAATCGCAAATTGTTTCAATCAAATACAAGAGATAATAAATAGAAGATTCAATGGTAACAATGTCAATAACGACAACCAACAACGCGAAAATGCGAATGAAAATCCAGAGGACAACAATTCATCCGATGGACATAGTCAAAATGGTGAAAATCAGCCAGAAGAAAATAACAACTTAGATAGCGAAGGAGAAAGAACGATACATTCGTCAAGAGGATCAACAAGATCATTTAATAGCACATTAGAAGAAGAATTATTTATGGATATTCAAGATCCAAGCAAATTTGTATTTTCCGAACAGGAAAGATTAAATATAATGAGTTACAATGAAAAATTTAGAAGCAATCCAGGACATTGGATGCGCGAGCCAATCAACGGCGAGTTAGAAATCGCAACGAGCGACAGATGTGAGGTAGCCTTAACGCGTGTGCGCAACACACTGCGTGGCGAGCGCCATAACGGTAGATTCGATCGAGCAGCCGTAGTGAACGGACACTCGATAGCTCAAGTAAGCAGAGCAATAGTGAAACGTAATAAAGTTCGTGAGTTAAATAGTGAAATGGATCTAGACAAAACGGATCGATATAAAATAGACAAGGAGAGAAAGAGATTAGACAGATGGGAGGAAAATTTACAGAAGAAAGTGGAAGGTTATACCAAGCAGAAACGAATGCTTGACGTGAGACGAAATAGGTTAAAAGCCATGGACGACTTCGAGAGAGAGCTGTCAGCGGTGGAAAGCGACGACAAGGAGTACGATCGTGACGAAATCGCGGCTCAGAGAAGATCGCTCAACATAATCAAACGATGCGAGGAAGCACGTGGCAGAAACGTCTTTGACGTAGGTAAATATCGAGTAGAAGACAGCGAAGGAAACGCAGTGGCCGATATAAAGGCGATATACGTCGTGAGAGATCTCAGACATCAAAGCGACGAAAGATCATTCTCTTACGAGATCAAAACAACGATAGTGCGAGGCACAACGGAGACGACCATAAGGGCACGCGAAAGTAAACAAATAAAATACAAGCCGATTGAGGAGGCGAAAACTACGAAGCAATCGAGTGAGACATCGACGATACAGAAAACGATGTTCTTACCACAGCAACCAATGATACAGCAGCATACGCAACAACAACAAGAACTACCGCAATTGATAGTCCTACCAACGGGAGAGATGGGGTCATTACGAAGAATACTACCGAGACCACCGTCGATGCAACAAACAATCACTTATCAACAAACCGGAGGTACGGAGAAACGAAAAAGAGGCGGAGATCCGAAAGGAAAAAACAGCGCAAAGAAGCCCAGCAAACCAACGGTCAAGTCTTCGATTCAAATCAAACCACCGACAAAGAAGCAAAAGACGAGAAAATCAGCGGAAGAGGCGAAGATGAAAATAAAGCAAAGTTCCAAGGAAGAAGACGAACACTCGAGCGAATCGGACAACGGTGAACACCTGAAGCTACCAACCAGGATCGCCGAACTTAAGAAATCCATTCTGAGTAAAATACTCATCAAGGATTTGCCGAGGAGTATGGGATCGGATGCTAGATCATCTCACCCATCGTCGAACCTGGAACAAGTCAGCGGTGAAGCCTGCCGACCGACCGACCAACCAGAGGCGCGAGGCATGGAGGACATAGCCGCGGAGACGACAACCGATATATTGAACAAGGAGACGGACGAGCTTGACGACTGCAGCTTCGAAAGTTTGGCGTCAACGCAAATCCTAGAGGCGATTCCGGAGGCAGTGGCGCAAGCCATAATTTCTGAAGGGATCATACAGCCCGCTGGACAGAGCGAGGCTATTCAACCAACCACACAGCCCGCTGGACGTAGCGAGGCTTTCCAGATGACGACACAGCCCGCTGGACGTAGCGAGGCTTTCCAGACGACCACACAGCCCGCTGGACGAGGCGAGGCTTATCAGAGACACGCACAGCCCGCTGGACGAAGCGAGGTACCGAGGGACGACGCAGAGTACAAACGACAGGCTGAGAGGGCAGAGAAGGAGACGTCGATTCCCAGCAGCCAACCGCGTACGCAGGAACTCTAAGTTGTATCCGCGCGGCGCGTATTTTCATATATAATTTTATGTGTGCGTTAAGTTTCTTATTTCATTTTATTTTATTAAAGAGATAGTCATAATTGACAAGTTTTTATAAAGTTTATGCAGCAAATGCAGTTATTAAAAGATATATTTTTCATTATTATGTACTTTGGTTTATATAGAGTCACATACGACGATTAGCATGTAAGGCATGACGATTTAAGATTAAAAAGACGCTCAGGCTAATAACAAAACCTACCACATCCTTGGAAAACCCATCCTACACATTTCCAGGAGTAGAGATAGAGATTTTATAAGTTCATTCAATAGAGTAGACAAAAGAGCCAATCAGAGGCCGATATTTCATTAATTAAAGTTAGTAATGGATTCAGATAAATTTCGGATCCTGGTATTATCATTCATATTTATCTTATTTGCTATTTCAATAATTTGCATTTTGCTATTAGCGTATTCCAACGTGGCGAAAGCCGTTCCTTATTACCAAGCGTGAGAAAGATTAAATAGATCGCAAGATGAGACTAAAGGAATACCTGGTAGTTACCCTTATCATTTTCGTACCAATTATACTCAGTTTTCCAGACGTTCAAACAGTCACCATGATTAACGTTCTGTATACTCTCTACATCCTGTTGCTTACCCTCGAGATCGATCCACCATTGATTCCCGAGGAGCCTTGAGTGATGATATGCATGCATTGCGACAAAGAGTGCTCACGAGCACGAGCGAGGGGCAACCGAGTCCCGAAAACATTATTTTAAGTGTATTTTATTCATTATAGATTATTATGGCAGTAAAGGCGAAACGCCGAAAAGAAACGACCAATGGCGAAAGACCAGGTGCGTTATATTCAAGTTTGTATTAATTTGCATTTTATTTGAGTAACTATTAGATTCTCAACTTCATGAGGGCCAATAGGATATATTCCTGGCTAGTTATAACAATTTTATTAACTTTAAATACTTATTCCCTAAAGACAAAGGCATAGAGCCAATAAGAGCGCGAGAAGCGACTCGATACCGCTAGAACGTGTAAACCGACCAATGAGAAGCGAGCGAGACTCGTAGAAGCGTGAATCCGTTCGATGACGCGATTTTGATTTATATTCATTCATTTCATAGATATTCCCTGTCGAAAACAAGTTAGATTATTTTATTTTAGCACCTACGATGCTTTATGATACTTAATTATGCGTTATTATATACTTACCGTTCGGATACTTACCGACGATACGAACCAGTCCATTGATTGGGCGAGACGATCCCGCGAAGACCCGGTACCTGAAAGAAAAGGAGAATTAGTAAAAGATTGATTCTAGTAATATGTTACTTACCTGGTTAATTAAGGGAACGTCATAAGGACCATTTTCGGTCACTCGGAAATCGTTCCGGGTGACTTGCCGCGAGTTTGCACATAGTGCAGATTGCGACGGCTGGCATTGGTTGCCGCGTCCGAATGCGAGAGCCCATGTCCGCCGTTGCAACGCCAATGCAGTATCTCAGTTAATTTCTGAGCTGAGCCAAAAAAGATCGGCTCAGCCAATAGGATAGGCGACCGAAGGGATCGTGTCGCTCGTCAACAAGCGACGCGATAGGTTGACGACGAGAGCGCGCGAGAATGCACCGTTCCGCGCGCAAAAGCGAGGCAACACGCCTGCGCAAGCATAAGGTGGGGGGATGAGCAACGTTCCTCCCGGACAGTCTACGCGAGAACATCGAGGCGCGCACATGTTTCGTGTGTCGCGCTACAATACTCGATCCCGTACGCTTATCCCGTGGCCGTATACGATAATTACGCGACGATTAACCACGCGTTAACCGGTATTAACCGAGACAGCTCGAAACGACGGTACTCAGTGTTCGTTAACGATCGACGCGAGTGAGCGCGCGATAGAACCTGTCCGTGCGTGTAACGAGATACTGTATATGTGAAATATTAAATTATTATTTGTTTATAATAAACAAAGAGTGATTATTTGCGACCCCAGTGAATATCCTCTCCGTAATTCCGTGTCACACGTGCGCTTGAACCGGGCGTTGCCGACGGCCTTGAACACGTCCGCGTCGTGGACATCGGTGGCCGCACAGCCTGAAGGAAGGACGGGGCACCGCATAGCAACCGGGTTTCTGTATATTTCCCGAAAAATACAGTGGCGACCGTAAATTCTGCCCAAGTAGTAAGTGGCATGTGTTTGATTTTAATATCATTATTCGTTGATCCGGTCACAGTAGAAACAGCATTGAGAAAGGAGAATATCACGCAGCATTTTAACTTAAAGATAGAATCTGCGAAGTTCGATCGTTTTACCTACGGGTTAACGGCACGGTTGGGTATGAAATCCGAGACGAAAGTAGTACTCTGAAGGTATTTTTGGATTGTAACAACTTTAGTGTCAGCTTGAGAAACGTCCCAAAAGGAGACCGAGACACAGTCCAAAGTTCCCAAATGGCGAACGAGACAGTTGTTTAAAAGAAAAGAGCACAGTCCAGATTCCCAAATGGCGACCGTGACATTTAGTCCAAAGTCCCAAATGGCGATCGTGACACTCTTTTTGTTTTAAAATGCGCGTGATTGTTAATCTGATAAATCGATGGTTCGGGAATTGTCGAACGTGATAAAACGTCGAGTCAGTGAAACGCGAAACGAAAGAGTTGTCGATAATTTAATTAGTGAAAAGCGTAGTGAAAGATGCACGCGAATTTTAAAACGGTTCTGAGAAATGTTCAAGCCGAGTAAAGATAAAGCGAGATCACCGATTTTAACGAGATCCGCGAAAAAATTAATGATAAATAAGACGGACAACGATAATAAAACGTGTGGTAATAGCGATAATAGCGATAAATTGATAGAAAATCGTGAAAACGCGAGTGATGCAATAGTAGAAGGCCGAGAGCCAATAGAAAACCGCGAAACCGCGAGTGATAGTAAAAGCAGTAAAGTCGAGTCAGGCCGAAAGCCAATAGAAATCCTCGAAGACGTGATGAACGTAGAAGTAATAGAAATGAATTCGGGCGACAATCAGCCAATAGGAGACGAGGCAGGCGCAACTACGGGAAACATAGTTAACGGTAACGCGAATGTTATTGCTAGCATCGCGAACAAAATTGCCGAGCTAACCCGCGTCATGTCATCGTTCTCGAGTTATGTTAATGAGAAATTCACGCAGCAGGAGCGTGTAATAAATTCCTTACGCGACGGTAATCGTAATAACAACGCGGAACGCCAAGCTGAGGCTGAGACTTCAGCCGGACAAAGCGCAGCATGTGAGCGCGAAGCGACGAACAACCGTGCGTCTATGATTCAGATGAATCTACCGCGAGGCGGATGGTTCAAAAATCCGTTTAGCGAAATAGAATTCCGAGGTGACAATGACTCGCAAAATCCGATGTTATTTTTACGTAAGTTTGATAGAATTGCATGTGAGGAGAAAGTATCTGAAAAGGATCAGTTATGTTTCTTTCTGCGAGCCATGAAAAATTCGGCAGCGGAATGGTTCGAATTAAAAGAGCCAATCACCATTGGCGATGCAAAGGAAATGTTTAAAAATAGATATTGGGGGATTCAAGCGCAAGCGAAATTCCGTCGGTCGTTACATTACAA